CTAGTGTAAAGTTTTTTACACTAGCAACCAATAATATCCTTTAAATTATTTTATTTTATTTTTATTTCATTAAATGAGCAACTGACATGATACTATTAAAAAATATGATTGGTTGCCAGTGTAACAAAACTTTACACTGACAGTGCATAGGTGATTAACTCTCTCTCTCTCTCTCTCTCTATATATATATATATATATATATATATAAAGAGAGAGAGAAAGAGATGAGGGTTCAAACGACACCGGTGTAACTTTTACTCAATACTACACCACTTAATAACTTTATATTAACTGTAAATTTTGAAATTCAACCGTTAGATGGAAAGTACGTATCACTTTATATGTTTATATCAAATTTTGTTAAAATTGGACAACAACTTAAAGGTAATCAAAGTGTTGATATTTTATTATATTTTGAAATGTATATATTACGTTAATTTTATTTTATAAAAATGAAGTATTAAATCATTTTAGATTAATATGAAATTTTGTATATAAGATCTAACGATTGAATTTAAAAAATTCACATTTAATATAAAATTATTTAGCGATGTAATATTTAGTAAAAATTACATTGATGTCGTTTGAATCCTCTTCATATATATAAGACACTCACATCTATAGAAATTAACTTATACATCGAATTTCTTTTGCAAGTACCACTTCCATTTTGAAGTGACCGACTTGCGAAAGAGATGAAACTTACCAATCTCATCGAAGAGTTTGTCATTAGATAAGAACATAAAGTTTTTTATTTTTATTTTTTATAATTTACATTTTTTAATATAAATCTGCCTCTAAAAGACACTTCATACCTCTGAATTATTTTAAAAATAATAAATAATAAAAAATATATATAATAGTGAGTGGTTAACATTATGAATTTTTACTTTAACAGATAAATCGTTAAAATTTGATGTAAAATATGAATTATTGAGTGGAGTAAGACTATAAGTAGACTTACTCTTGAAATAAATGAATCTCTATATATATGTGTGTTTATGTGGAGTTTGCTAACATACATTCACCTTCTTCTTAGATGAAGTTGACAAGTTACATGTAGATATATTTTAAAAATATTGTATTTTTAACTTGTTAATATACTCCTTTTAAAAAGAAGTAAGTTTATATTCGTAAACCTAAGTATTAGCTAACTTAGACTCGTTTATTTTTTTAAAAGGAGTAAATTATCAAGCTACACCTAAATATATTTTAAATAAAATTATAGTTATAATTTACTAATTTACTTATATAAAAAAAAAAAAAAAAGCGGTGTAAGTTAACAAACTTACAATAATTTTTAATATGAGGTGAGAATGTGAGCACTTTAAATTTGAATCAAATATGTACACATGAATTATTAATAATAAAAATTATTTATTTATCACACTACTGCTTAAAAAAATTATGTCGATTTTTTTTAGATATCTAATATTTAAATATTTTATATTAATTACTAGAATCAGTAGCTAGAGAAATGAATAGATATAAGAGATTATAGGTTCGATGTTCAACGTAGTTCATAATTTCTTCTACTGATTAATGATTATAAAAAAGAAAAGAAAAAAAGCAAATACTTTGTATTCACAAGTCACTACCGTGTTTGTTGACATTGTGATCTTCATCCAGATGTGCTCGGGGTTGTAATGGAGCCCACTTTGGTTAAACCAAGCCCGTGACTCTAATCTGTAAATGCTTCAGAGAATAATTGCTATTATATTATTATAATAAATATAAAAAAATAGTCTACTAGAAGAAATTCCATGTGACTAGGGATGACAATTTTAGTATTATATTATTTTAATAACTGAAAGTGAATCTGACAATAAAGATATGTTATATTTTAGTATTATAATTTTTTAATTTCATTTATTATATTTAAAATTTTTTTGCAGGTGGATTGCATGTAAGTGAAATTATTCAACATGTGCAAAATTAATTGATGTTATGGGTAGATTTTAATTTTATTGGTTTAATCTAATTTTTCAATTCTAATTTTAAAATTTTCAATTTTCTTATTATAAGTAAATTGAAGATTAATGACATTATTCAACATTTTCTACTTGTAAGATGAATTTTATTTGTGATTTGTAAAAATTTTAATTATATATGATTATTCATAATGCATGCAATGTCTGAGTTAGTGTCTTTAAATTTCTTTGTTAAGGTACGAGACAATCAGTTATTGTCTTTATATAAAGCAAAGATAAGTTATGAATATTTTGTATGATATTTATATATATACATATATATATATATTAAAAAGTATTTAATTAATTTCTGACTGATATAAGTATACTCTATAAAGATGAAATATAAATTTTATATCCATCAAATATTGAATATCAGAACAAATATAAGGTATGAATGCAAAGACAGAAACGGAAATATTAAAACTGCACTCAACCCGTGGCGTTGTCATGCCAACATGTGACCATGCAATATGTCATGAACGCGTGGAAATCATTAATTTGATTTCAATAGTAATTAGCAATCAGGGTCACAACTCACAAGCTAATCTGAATTGGATTTATCTTAAGAAAACTTGAAGTCAATAATTATATATTTATCCTGAGAGGAGAGTGTCTTATTAAGATGCTTCTACGATACACAAAAAACTGATAGAACATGAAATTAATCAACGCAGGTTAACAAATTCCAAACCCTTCTGGCTTCATCCTGCAATAGGCACCTATTTAAGTAGGCTTCTCTTGTTTCTTTTCAACCCTTATGATTTTATAACGCAGATGTGAACAAATTTAGTAGGTACTGAAATTACGTTCCACCTGTCCAAGTGTTTGATTGCAATATTGCCTATCTTGAAAGCAACTTCAAAAAGATATCAATCAGAACCAAAAACATTGGACTCAATATATATATAAACTGATGATAGGGAAAAAATGGGAAACTTATACAATCCAGAAATTGTGGAAGCAGAAGAAAGAAAAAAAAAAAAAAAAAGAGGGACAAAATATAACAAATATAATAAATTATATGACAAAAATTAAGATAAAAAGAAAAATAAGGTGAAATGAAAATAAAAATAAATAAATAAATGCATATTAACAATATAACTAAACGTATATATTGGAATAAATATATCAGCTTTCATTTAAATAATTATTTTCACCATATTAATATTTATAGTTTTATTGATGATTAATTTTCGTACTTGATTGGTAATATTTAAATTAATAATAATTCTGTTAAAATTTTTTTCAAAAATATAAATATCTTTTTTTATAAATAAAATACATTAATTCAAAAACACATTGACAAATTATTTGAACGTAAATTGTAAAGATTAATATTATATAAACTTGATGTTTTATCAGTGAAAGAAGTTCACACAATCACACAAACACCTATTTAGATTTTAGAATTATAATTATTTTACTTGTGTTTTAATATTTTTTTTCTTATCATTATTAGGTTAACATTAAATATAAGAATATTTACTAAATAAACCAACTTAAAAATACTTTACGAGATTTAATACCCCACAGCTACGCACACTTATTTGGATTTGAGAATTATAATTATTTTATTTTTATGTTTAAAGATTTTTTTATATATTTTAAACTAGACATTTTATATAATAACATCTACTACATATATCTCAACTTTAAAAATACTTGAAAGAAGAGATTTAATAAAAACTAAATATATAACTGATCAAACACATCATTTAACCAGTAAAACTTGAACTTGAGCTTTTTCGTTGTTGGATAGTTTCAATAAGTTATATATAAAGAGATTAATTTTTAGAAATGATAAAAGTTTATAATGTCAATTAATCCGAAATTAAGTTAAATAATATTTTAATTTTGTAAAGTAATTGTTTTTTTTTCCTCCTTCTTCCTGCTTTGTTTTTCTGCATACGATTTTTCAGGTAAATATAAAAATTATATTTATTTTTTTACTCTTTTCCCAATTTTTTAAAAAAACATAGATGTACTGAATACCTCATTTTCTCTAGTAGCTATTATTATGATTTAAGCTTGCTATTCACCATTAGCATTTACAGTATATAAATAATAATAATAATAATAATAATAATAATAATAATAATAATAATAATCTGCACTATTCCACGTATCAAAGGTTGCGTTCCAAAGAGAGTACTGTTTTATAAACATTTATACATCTATTATTAACGAATTATACGATTAAATTATTAAAAAAATTATAATGTGACTTTAAAAATAATTAATAAACTTAAACATGAAGAGTTGTAATTGAATTATCATGTCCTACTCGGTAGTAGGGATGACAACAGGGAGTAAGTACTCTTCATCACTCAACTTGTTTAATACATGTATCTATTTAATGGTTATACATGAAATTTTATATAATTATGAATATTTATAGGTATTCATATTGAATATTTAATAAAATGTGTAATTTTAAATAAAAAATGTAAGAGATAAAATAAAACAAAATATTAATAATTTAAATATATATATATATATATTAAAAAATAATTTTGCAATATATTATACTAAAATTAAATAATTGACACACACACAAAGAAAATAATATATATATATATATATAATGTAAAAATATATTAAATCAAATTACTTTATATTTAATTAAGAATATTTGTAATATTTTTAAATTACAATAACTTACATGTATGAATATCTTACGATCTGTTAATTATTTAAATAGGTATTCATTTAATTATTGGTTTAAAATCTAATTAAGCACATTTTATCTATAAATATATATGCATGTATAAGTTTTTTTTTTTTTTTTTCATTCTCACGTAGTAGTCTACTAATAAGGTGAGACCCCACATCACCTCATAGCATCCAAAACCTAATTCAAGGGATTTCCTTTGCCAGCTAAAACTCATTCTCATACATAGTTGCATCAATAACGTAATTTCTCCGAATTTCGTTTAGTACTTTTGCAATAATTATTACTCCAGCACTGATTAATTTGTTCTTAAACAATTTACCCCACTTGTGTTCCAAACACTATATAAACCCCCATTCACTGCAAATAACTCCCATCCCCACAAACACTCTTCTCTTAAGCTCTGGTAGTTAACTTGTCATTATTTGAAGAAAACAAAAGACACTAGCTACTACTAGGGTTTAAGATGGGTTCCAAAACTTGCTCTTCCCTTGCTCTTTTCCTCACACTCAACCTCCTCTTCTTTGCCCTTGTCTCTTCTTGCGGGACCTGCCCTAGCCCAAAGCCTAGGCACAAGCCTAGCCCTTCAGGTGGCTCTGGTGGTTCTGGTGGCTCAGGTGGTTCCGGTGGCTCCGGTGGTTCAGGTGGTTCCGGTGGTTCAGGTGGTTCTGGTGGTTCAGGTGGCTCTGGTGGTTCAGGTGGCTCGGGTGGTTCTGGTACTTCATGCCCCCGTGATGCACTGAAACTAGGTGTATGTGCCAATGTGCTAAACGGGTTGCTGAACGTGACTTTGGGTCAACCACCAGTTACCCCTTGTTGCACCCTCCTCAACGGTCTCGTTGACCTTGAGGCTGCAGTGTGCCTCTGCACTGCTCTCAGAGCTAACATTTTGGGCATCAACCTCAACCTTCCCATCTCACTCAGTTTGCTTCTCAACGTTTGCTCAAGGCAAGTCCCACGTGGCTTCCAATGCGCCTAATCATATCATATGGCCTATGCACAACATATCATTATTGCTTCGTGTTTGCTAGTTGTGGCCTTTTATTTTCTTCTTCAAATTCCATTGATCAAAGGTGTGATTCTTGTACGTGCATGTATGGTTAACTTCTCGTTATTCTGTCGCTTTAGTGTTTGTTTTATCTGGCCAAAGTGTCGATTAAATAAATTCCCAATGCTTTCTCATGTAAAGCGAAGGGAATCAAAGATGATACATGTAAGTGTTATTTATTTTACCTTTAAATGATTAATGTTACAGATACTAGTTATTTTATTGATGCCTTTTCGTTTTGCGTTTTTGGTGAATGAGAGCATCGGCTGATCATGAAGTTAAATTACTTTGCGTTCTTTCTTCTGTCTCTTGTCTAACTGGCGGAAAACAAAATCAAGAAAAGAATAAAAGCTAAAGCGAGTACTGCAATGAGCCCGTGACTAATGTACTGTATCACTCCACGTGCATGCACTCAGTCGCGGAATATTAATAAAAAATTTGGGAGTGCCAAATTAATTATTTTATATATAAATTTAAAAAAAATTAATTAAAAAATAACAAAAATTTTTATTTTTTTTACTCAAAATAAACATGCATAATAATAAAATTCAAAAAAAATATTATCATTCATTAATTATAATAATCATAAAATAAATAAATAAATATATATATATATATATATAAAATATTTAAAAGAAAAGTTTGGAAGAGGCACGGCTCTCCTTATCTCTTAAAAGGTCCGCCACTACATGCACTATTAGTTCATTCAAGAAAAAAAAAACTCTAAATAGTTAGCTAATCCGAATCAAAATTATGAGTTTACTATCACCATCGGAGTGGAAAAAGACTATTATGTGCGATACAACTTTTTTCCCCGAATGGTTAGCGTAGTCTTATGTTTAAAATTAGAACTCAAGATCATCAATTGATTAAACCGAGACCAACGTCAGTTAATCCCCGTATTCATGGTAGAGTTACATTAACTTAGAAGCAATAATTCCTAGCTGAAGCAATAATTTTTTGATAACACTGTTTAACTATCACTACAAAAAAAATATATTATGTATAATAACATATACAAGAATATTAAGTACAATAACACATAAAAAATGTCATTATAAATAAGTGTGTACAAATTTTTTTTTGAGATATAATATACACTATTTTAGTATTATTTTTTAATAAAATTTAACAACATATATATTGCTTCAAAAAAAAATTATATATATATATATAGATATATATATATATATATTATGTGTCATTATAGTTAATACATATATACTTTTTAATAATATACCAAATATATTATATTTATAATGTAAGTAAAAGTAATTTTTAATTTTAAATATTGTGTCACTATAAAGTGTATGTTTCACAACAATCTCTTTTATAGTGTACAATGATTTATATAATTTGTTTTTCAAATGTAAGAGTATTGCATACCTGAAACCATTTGACACTTGGTATATGCATTTTTCTTTTGCTGGGTTTCCATTTAATGGTGTTTAAACGAACGTGCATACCATAACATTTGACACCAAAAATTTGTTGTTGCTCGATTGACATGTCGATTGAATTGAATACGTAGAGAAATATTAACGACATTTTTTTAACACTTCACGCTAATATTTTTTTATCGGTTAACATTAAAAATTTGATAAATTTTATCACTACATAAAAGAAAGACTTGTTAAATAAAATACGAATAGTAAAACAAAATTATTGTTTTACAACTGGCTTTTTAAATCAGTTACGATGTAGAATGTTTAGTGGTTACATTTTTGGAAATACTTTCAAAATATTCAGATCGGTTAATTAAAAATCATTGTAGAAGACCATGTATTACATCAGTTCATATGAGAATCAATGTAGTATTGCGACTAATTATATATTCACCGTTCTGCCAAACTTCTCAATATCGCACTCACGAATTCAAAAGAAGACTTTTCTCCCCCAAACTCTCTTTTTTTTTGGCTCCCGAACGTCTACTTCAGTGAATTGACTTTGCCACTATACGTACAAAACAAAGGCCATCATTGTTCTTTTTGCTCCCAAACTATCTTCTCTCCCTGTGTTGTCATTCTTCATACATAGGAGGTATAAATTAATATCTTATTCTCCCTTACTCTGCCATTGTTCTATTTTGTCTGTGCGCAACCATTGTTCCCTCTTGTTTCTCGCTCTCATTGTTCCCCTCCTTTTGCAGCTGTGTGCTCTTCAGCTCTTCGCTGTTAGACTTTATCATCATTCCCTTGTGTGTTTTTCTCAAGTACTTTCTTTGTATTAAGTAATAAGTTTTTTGGGTATATGTATCGATGAGTGTGTGTATATGTATGTATTAAGTAATAAGTTTTGTCTCAGCTAAATTTATAATTTGAAGCTGTTACTCTTAATTTGTTAATTATTGTTACTTTTTTTTTATTATCTTTTATTGACTCATTCTTTTTTCTTTTTATTTTAGTTATTTTTCAGCTCACTTTTCATTCTTAATGAGTATTTTTATTCTTTTTTCATGTAATATATATA